CGCCGTGGGGACGGTGGCGCGGCAGAGCTCCGCGCGCCCGCTTGGCACGGCTCTGCCAGGCAGCCCCTGGGCGCGTGGGCTCCCATGGGCGGCCCGTGGAACGGCAGCGTCTGCCCCGAGGGCGCGCGGGAGCCCGCGGGGCCGCGGCTGCCGCCGTGCGACGAGCGCCGCTGCTCCTTCTTTCCCCTGGGGGCTCTGGTGCCCGTGACGGCCGTGTGCCTGAGCCTGTTCGCCGTGGGCGTGAGCGGCAACGTGGTGACGGTGTTGCTGATAGGGCGCTACCGGGACATGCGGACCACCACCAACCTGTACCTGGGCAGCATGGCCGTGTCCGACCTGCTCATCCTGCTCGGCCTCCCCTTCGACCTGTACCGCCTGTGGCGCTCGCGGCCCTGGGTGTTCGGGTCCCTGCTCTGCAGACTGTCGCTCTACGTGGGCGAGGGCTGCACCTACGCCACGCTGCTGCACCTGACGGCGCTCAGCGTCGAGCGCTACCTGGCCATCTGCCGCCCGCTGCGCGCCCGCGTGCTGGTCACCCGGCGCCGCGTGCGCGCGCTCATCGCGGCGCTCTGGGCCGTGGCGCTGCTCTCGGCCGGGCCCTTCTTCTTTCTCATGGGCGTCGAGCAGGACCCCGGCCTCCCTGCGGGCCACCCCCGGAACGGCACCCCGCAGGCCACGCTGGCGCCTCCGGGGCCCTCGGGGGCGCCGCCCTGGTCGCCGCGGCCGGGGCCCGACCCCGTGGCGGCCGCGGCGCTGTTCAGCCGCGAGTGCCGTCCGAGCCCGGCCCGCCGGGGCGCGCTGCGCATCATGCTGTGGGTCACCACCGCCTACTTCTTCCTGCCCCTGCTGTGCCTGAGCGTCCTGTACGGGCTCATCGGGCGGCAGCTGTGGACGAGCCGGGGACCCCTGCGAGGCCCGGCTGCGTTGGGGCGCGAGAAGGGCCATCGGCACACCGTCCGCGTCTTGCGTAAGTGGGGCACCCTCTGGTCCGGGCACATAGGGGGGACCCGCCACCCGGCCAGTGCCCAGACCCTGCCCTCGCAGCGCTCCCGGGCTTCCAGCTACGCTTCCCGTCTCCCGAGTCCAGGGTGACACCTCTGTGCTCCCGAGGGTAGAATGCATGACTTTGGGCAAACTGCAAGATTTTTCCACAGAGCACTGTCATCGGTGAGTGGGGCTGATTGATCCAGGGTAGTTGATCAGAAGCTCTCCCTCCAACACCCTGCATCTGTTCGATGCCAGAGAAATGTCTGGTTTACAGCACCCGTGACAGGATGAGGCAGGTGACGTGAAAATAACGCGTTGACTTAAAACACTTCCATGTCCAGATCGTGCCATCCTGCTGCAGAATTCTTTCCAACCGGGAGCAGACAGGTCTCGGAAGTGGGTCCGTGCCGGAACCGCTTGTCTGCAGAAGTTTCTCCTAGTAGTTTATAGCCAGATTTTAGAACCCTTAAATGAGACCGTTATGCAGTTTGAAACAAGTACTGATGCAATCCGCAGCCTGGTGGTTTTGCTGGGGGGAGCGGGGGAGCTAACCTAGGTGATATTCTACTTAAGCGATTTGGTAGCGTTCATTACTCATGGTGTCTAGGGACCCTGTGCTTTTGCTAATTCTGCTGCTTATGTCTTGTTTTGCAGTGGTGGTGGTCTTGGCATTTGTACTTTGCTGGTTGCCTTTCCACATTGGCAGAATCATTTATGTAAACACAGAAGACAGCCGGAATGTGTACCTCTCTCAATACTTCAACATAGTTGCTCTGCAACTTTTCTACCTGAGTGCAGCCATCAACCCAATCCTGTACAATCTCATTTCAAAGAAGTACAGAGCAGCGGCCTGTAAACTGCTGCTCTCCAACCAGTCCAGACAGATAGGTTTCTGCAGAAGCAGGGACAGTGGGGGGCATACCGGAAGGGACACACCTGGCTACACAGAATCCAGCACTAACGTAAAGACCACGGCCACGTAAGTCACCATGTCCCACAGTTCTGGAATGCCAAAGAGGTCTACAGAGAAACTGGACTGAAGAGGGTACTGATGCTTAGTGCGCAGAAGGGTTAAAACGTATTGAGTAGATTACAAATGCCAGTATTATTTCTTTTAACCAATGTATGAGATGTAACTGGACAAGTTATTCTGTTCCCCCTTCCATGTACTCCTAAGGATTGTGCATTATCGTATGCATCATAGTTGTGAAAAGATGCTACAATGTGCTCCAGGGAGGCTCCGCCATCTTCATTTTGTTCATCTTTGGAAATATGCTTTGATAGCTTAGTTTTCAGTTAATACGTGAAACGAGAGAGTCGGGAGTTTGTTTTGTTTTTATGTTCTGTATATAAGACTTGTCTATAAGACTGCATATAAAAGGAACACTGTAACGTAAGAATTTGGATCCAAGAAATTATTATTATTATTATTTATTTATTTTTTAATGATTTTGGGGGGGGCTCATACAACTCTTATCACAATCCATACATCCATCCATTGTGTCAAGCACTTTTGTACATTTGTTTCCCTCATC